GGACCAGGGAGGATGATTCAACCACTCAACCACTAGATGTCACTGAAAACAATAAATCCTACACACTGTGCCTTTAATGATGGCTTTCTGGGAGTTCCATTAAAATCCACTGGCATGTAAGATATTTTGCTAATAGACAGACACACACACAGTCAGTTGTCCCGTATGTTACTCCAGGTTGCAGGTGCCCAGTAAATAAAACTGGATTGTTAAGGTTTACCTGACACTTGTAACGTAATCCTGTCTCTAGTGCACTGTGTCCCACATCAGAAGTGGCTGTTCAATTTAAATGTAACCCAGCAGGGTGTGCCAGTGAGTAGGCGTGAAAGTTTAAACCAGAATTCATGATTTTTACTCAGATGTGTATTTTTCCAAATGTGATGGACTGTTCTTAGGAAAACACTTCCTAGAGGGCTTTGGTCATATTGCCCTTATTTTAGCCAGAAGGCTGACAAACAAAAGAAACCGGAGTTGATCCACTCAGATAAACCAGATGGGGGCATCAGTTACCCAGAATTGCCCACAAAGCTAAAAGTTGCTCTTTTCTCAATGCCCTGTCATCACTCTAAATGTCAGGAAAAAGACTGAATTAAAACTAACTATATTGACGAAATGTTCTCATCAGTTTGTGTACATAATTTTTATTTTCTCTTCTCTGCAGTGTTAAATTGGGTTGCATGACAACATTTCAGACATTTTTGAACTTTCCATTTGATTTTAGATTCACAGCTGCTTTCTGCTGCAGCTCAGGGGATTAGTTTTAATTATTGTCCTCTACTAAAAGGCAAAGGCAGATGATGCCTTTGCCACTATGTTGTCTGTTTGTTAGCAAAATATTGCATGAACCACTGGATGAATTATGGTGAAACTTGTAGAAAGTCATTATCAGATCGGTTACATTTCAATGCCAACAGAGTTAAAAATGCCCACCAGAGCCAAGTGTCCTTAGAAAACACAAAGGCTATAATTTGGTCAGTTTTACAAATACTGAGTTAAGGTTTGATGTTTGATTATAACTTTGAAAATGAAGAGCAGCAGTAGAGGTTGAGCTGTTTTCTCATTTCCTGAACTCCACCCTCCTCTATCTGGACCCCCTCGGCTCGGAGGGCTCCAGACCCCAGTTTTGAGGACCTCCGGCTCTGAGCCAACCCACTCTGCTCGCATGCTCCATTGTCTTTAAAGAGAGAGCGGGCTGTTTGCAAACAGGTAGCCTGTCTGCGTTAGCCGCTCTGTGGGCTGCTCCCTCCGAGCAGGGTGGCTTTATTTGTGACTCTCACTGACTGAGCCGCAGTCCTCCTCCGCCGGTTTGCCTCCACGCACACGGCAGCCTCGGCCGGCCGGCGCTCGGATGCTGGGGGTCCGCGCCGATAAGGGACGAGTGCAGGGCCCGCGGAAGGAAAGCGGGGAGAACACGAAGGGCACGTTTCCTCTACCGGGACTCGCGTTGAGCCGTAACGGTCCGCTCCACCTCCGAACCTTCTCCTCCCGGATGCGTTTGTTGTTCCCTCACTCCCCCCGGTCGCTAATTACTCCGCGTCAAGGATTTAAAACCAGAGAATAAGAAACCACCGAGGTCTCTCCTTCTTCTTCTTCTACGGATTTAAATTTCCAGACTCCTCATCGCTCGGAGGGACAAACATGGATTTGAGCAAAATTGTAAGTTGTTAACCGACCACATTTCTTTAAAAAGAACTGAGCTGTGGGTTTGCCATGTTTGATGGAGGTGGGGGTGGTGTCCGAGAGGTCCTGCTACACACACACACACACACACACACACACACAC